TTTAATTATTTCTTTTATACAGTACTGCTTTATTTAATTAGCTATATGAGGTTTACATGTAATAATGGATGTTATGGATCACCTCCACAATACAATGGCAAATTCTCTATGTCCGTCATCCTGGATAATTTGTACCTATGTGTATGATTGGATGCACTAGGTAAATAAGCTTTTCGAACAAGGTATCCACAGAGCATTGAACAAAGGGAAACTGTGGAAGCTGTCAGTTTGATCCATCCTGGTGAGTTCAGAAAAGGCCAAACACATATATCATCATGAGAGAATAGTCAAGTATATCTTTATCATTCATGGTTTGTGTATGTTCTTTTTGATTATTAATTGTATGAGCACACACTGAGGCAAGTTTTTGTTTATCACCTATAGCCTTTCTAGCCATCCATTTATTATTATTATCCCTCGTTTACCCCCTTTGAGTATGTATCCTTTTGTTTTATTTACACCCATCTAATTAACCTATGGCCCGATCATTTTCCTACCCTATTTAGAGTCTTTAGGTTCATCGTTTACGCTATGCTAATTTTTAAGTTTGGGGTTGCTGTTGGAATAACAACTTTTAAGTTTGGGGGTAGCTATGCATCAAAGAAAAGACAATTCATTTAAACGGAGAGTGAAAGAAAGAAAAAGCAAATGAGGGTGAAATAAAATGATCTGACAAATAATGTCTTATCCAAAAAAAAAGAGAAATTTTGTGTGTGCACTCATCTGACATAATCAGAGCACCCACAAAAAAAAAGAGAAAATATCGTAAAAACAACATAGCGCTAAGGATGATCTCGCTGATTCTGAATCATAACCCTTGTTTTTTTATATCCACCTATAACCCAAGCCCCGTTACAACCCTAAAGACCTAAAAAAGTGTGTGTTCTATGCAGATTAATAAGAGGAGAGAATTTATTCAAATCACTGATATGATATTGTTTACTCTGATTGAGCGTTAAACACTCTAACCCGAGAGAATTGGTGATAGTGAGAAATAATCTGACAGGTGAAGCAGTGTTTCCAAGTAAAAATATTTTTGGCTTGCTGGTTATGAAGAGTATAAAGAAAAACCCAAGGTAATATACCAAGGGGCCTAGTGCGAAAGATTTCAGAGGTATTGTGGTATGTCATATTTTTACAGTAAGTTTGGGGTGACGTGATCGGTTGAATTCAAAATGTTACTTGAGGACAAGAAACGAGCTAAGTTTAGGGTTGTGATCAGTCACCATTTATGCTACGTAATCATCAATAGGTCAGGTAAAATGTATGAAGTTACATGTGTTTTAGTCGTAATTAGAGTTTGTCGTAGCATGTCGTAGATTTTGAGTTTCTCGAGGATATTTTACGCTTTTGGGTATTTTTCAGGTCAAATACAGATTTGGAAGCTCAGATAATCAAATGCGAGATGTGAGATCGAGCCGGAGCAAAAAAGCAGAAGGAAAATGAAAAATTGAAGACTCTGTTGTCCATACGGGTAATGCCTTAGCTGTTACGCGTATAAACCTCACCTGTACGCGTAGGATACGTGAATCAGCAGAGAAAGGGAAAAATCCACCTTCTGCTGATACGCGTAACAAACAAGTCATTACGCGTATCAGTTTGTGTAGATGGCCTGAAAAATGGTTACACATATGATACTTGGGGTGTTCTTATGGGCATTACGCGTAACACCTTGTTCATTACGCGTAATGAGGCCCAAAAATTGCCAAAGACCAGAAGCTAACTATTTACTCCCAGAATGCAATTTTTTCGAGGGGTGGACGTTTGGAGAGAGAAGAAACGTGTTTTGGAGGTTGGAGAACTCAAATTTTCGCCACAGAGTCATATTTTCAAGAGTTTTCACAATTGAAGATTGATTTCCTTTGATTTTCTATAATGATAACTTCTTTTCTTCCGTTTTCCTTTATTGTTATGAGCAGTTAAACCCTCCATTGCTAAGGGATGTCCCTGAGTTGAATATGTAATGACTCTGATATTATTGTTGTAATGACACTTCCTTTGTTTAATAACTGATTTGATCTCTAGTTGTTCTTAATGCTTGCCCTGTCGGACCAACAAGGTTTGATTTACGATTAACAATTAGGTTGGACCGCCGTTGTTAAGGCTTTGCTTTTGATCGTCCTATAGTAGATATCACCTAGGACTGGGGATACCCTATAAGAACCGTAATAATTCTTGATAATTGATTTCTTAATTTCACTTATAATTCTCTATGGACGTAGGGATTAGGGTAGACGATGAAAGGTTTTCTCACTAAGGACTTAGGAGTAAACATTCTAAAGAATTGGTAATTAAGTAGTTACAATAAGTCGTTGCATGTTAATTCAGAGTTGTTACGAAGTCAGATCATACACCTTCCCTAGCATGTTACTCATATATTTCCAAACCACTTAGTCAATTTTTCCTTTTCACTTGAAAAGATTTTTAGAAATACGCAAAACCTTTTGAAAACCCCAATTACTTTTGTTCCATTGAATTATTCTATAGCTTGTGTTTCCTCTGTAGTCCTCGAGATTGATATTCAGGGAATTCTCCCTTATTACTCCATTAGCAAAATAATACACTTTCTATTTTTCCGATCATGAGCGAACTAAGCATATCGATGTGAGGTTGCACTTTGTTAGAGAGATAATCGAGCATGGTGATGTCCAGGTGTTGAAGGTTTCGACTAAAGACAATGCTGCTGATATGATCACCAAGACGTTGTCCAGTTGCAAGTTTTTCCACTGTATGTAGTTGATAAAGCTGCATGATGAAAGTTAGTTGATTCCCTGTTTGTTGAGTTAGATCTAAGGTGGAGATTTGTGAGATTTTGGGTCGAACTCAAGCTTTGCCGATGAATAGCTTTCATGTATTTCGGTAGGAGACAAGCATGAAGTCGAAGATGAGTCGCATGCTGTGGTCGAAGGATACATATTGTAGTCGAAGTCTGTTATAATATGTATTGTCGAAATATTTGTCGAATTGGGCCTTTTTATTACGGATCCAATTGTTTAGTTAGATTGGATTGCAAGTTATCTAGTTAGTCTATATATATAGGATAGATCACTCGAGTTGTTGAGTGAGACCAATTGTGATTTCATTTTTAATCATATGTAAACCCTTATGAGAAAGTGAATAGTAAACAATTTGCTCTAATCTTTCTTCTTATTTCTTCTTTATCCTTTCTTCTTTTCTCTTTGTTATAACTGATTTCATTGTTCACCAAAGAACTCGATTTCTTAATATTAATTTGTTGAAAGGTATCATTTATAATCACAACAGGTTAATAATTAAATTAACTCTAATAATATTTCATCAACGAAATCATCTCTCAAACTTTGTCCTAGTGCATCCCATTTGACGTTTAAACAAATCCTTTAAACATATTAGGAGAGTTTATCCTTAGTCCATGTTAAGTATTATGTGATTTGCACTTCAGATTAATCTTTAAGGAGAAAGAGATAAAAGGATGATTAAGTTTAAAAAGAGAGAGAAAAATGATGTATTGTGGTTATATTGCTCAATCTGTTAGGACCTGCCACGTGGAAGAATTGAAAAATATAGTTGACAAAGATTTGCTTATTATGTTAGTTACATCCATGTATATATTTTAGTTACATCCATGTATATATTTTAGTTACATCCATGTACATCCATGTGGCATTTTCTTATCTTAGGTAAGTAGTTGATAACTTTTTGATATGTTTGGTACTTTAATGATGTAGTACTTTTATTATAAAGCATATATTACGTACACACCTCATCAGTTATATGACTCAATTAAAATTTTTTTCCCTAAATTTTCCCTTTTAACTCATTTATTTCTTCTATCTCAAATTTCTCTATTGGTGTTCTCCTATGACGCATATTTTAGAATAATATATATTTTTATTCTAGGATATTTTTAATAAGTTGGTAAAGTTAAATATGAAAAATAAATTATTTTTACATATATGTGTTTTTTATTTTAAATATAAAAGCTACATGGTTTTTATCTTCAAATATAAGAATTAAATAATTAATTTAATTTATAATTTTAAGTATCCTAAAAATAAAGATACATTTCTTTTTAAATAAAATGTTTTATAATTAAAATAAAAATTTGAAAAAATTGATTTTCTTTTGTCTGGAGAAACAAATTTATGGATTCTCCCCGCATCTTCTATAAATCTACATCCTCTCTTATAAAAAGTGCCTAAAACCATAATCAAAGAAAAAAAAAAATCAAATATCAATGGCTATGAATTTCAGAATTTCTTCTATAATATCGCTATTTCGATTTTTTTTGTATTGGATTCAGGTATTTCTATAATTTATGAAAATTGTAATTTTTATATATATATTTTTATTTTCTTATTATATTTAACATTTACATTAACATCTGATTATTGTCTTTCTTGGATTAATCAATTAATTAACTCTAATAATATTTCATTCACAAAATTATCTTTCATCGTCATAGAATCTCAAAATCATCTTTCAAGCTTTGCCTCTAGTGCATCCTATTTGATATTTAAACAAATCTTTTAAACATATTATTAGGGTTTATCCTTAGTCCATGTTAAATACTATGTGATTTACGCTTCAAATTAGCCTCTAATTTTCAATAGGATCATACCCTAACAAAATAAAAACCTAAACACACATTTGTGAAGAAAAAAAAACTGAAAACTCCACTTAAAACTGAAAACTCCACTGTCACACGCTCCACTTTGTTTAAATTTAGTATTATACAATTTTAACTAAATAAATTTTAAATTAATTCTTGATAATATTTTTTTGCGCTGATTTTAACAAATTGCATTATTTAGACATTTTCGCATTAATTCTCTCTTCACTCGAAAAGTAAGTAGGCCCCACTTTACACTGTTTCAAAACTAACCACTTTTCCCAATTCTTTCGTATCCTAATTCCACTGAAACAAAATTTCAATTCAACCCAAAACCCTAATTTTCTTTCGACTTTGCTCCTTTCAATCTTAGATCATATTTTAGGGTTTCCTTCACCTTTCAGAAACCATGGTTAGTGCTTTACCTTTCGCTTCGATTCGATTCCGATTTTTTGTCCCTCTTTTTACTATTCTGTTTCACTGAAATTGTTCTTATCTTTACTATCTTCCAATTCTTTATATATATGCTAAATTGAATGTTTGGTGTTTTCTTGAATAACAATTGATGATGATAGTCGAAGTGAGGTGTGTTGAATTTAATGATTTGTTAGTGATGTATTTATGTTGCGTGTTGCGTTAATTAATTGTTGTGATTTGTTATGCAGCATAAATTGGGGAGAGGTCATCGGGATAAACTCCAGCAGTTTGTAACAATAACCGGAGCTAGGTAATGTAGTAGTTTCTTGCTTTGTTTAGTTTTGCGTTTTTGCCGTGTTTGGATGAACTTATTTGAGCTTTTGACATAATCAAAACAACTTATGATATTTTTCATGAATCTTTTTGAACTTATTTTTATAAGTTCTTCAAGATAGTTAAAGAAAATACTACCTCCGGCCTTTTTTGTAAGAGACTGCTCAATTTTTAGATTAATCGAATACTAAATGTATCAGGTCTATATATAATCCAGGTCTATATATAATCAAGATACATTAGTTTTTCAATGAATCTAAAAAATGAGATGTCTCTTATAAAAAGGACAAGGAGCAACTTATAACATGTATAAAAACAATTTAAACTCATTTTATCTTTTGTTATAAAAATAACTTATGCAAGGTTATTCATAAGCACTTATTTTGATAAGTACTTATGCTATAAGCTGCAAATTAGCTTTGTATCCATAGAGGCTCTTGTTGTTACATCACTTGCTTATGAAACTTATAGAAATTAGTTTTTTTATGTATTTATTTATTTATCATGTTTACCAATAGAATTAGATACCTTATAGCTTTGTATATGTGGGTCTTGATTTGTTAACGGGGGAGAGGGGAGAGAGGGGTATTAGTGTTAAATTATGGATTGAAGGCCTTTGTGTATAGTTCTGAATCTGATCATTCATTTCTGTAACTTTGTCTAATATTTTCTAAATCAATCATGTTTCACATTGGTTTCTATGCTGATAGTGAATTTTATTTTGGTGAGCTGGTTCTTTCTAATTTAGTGTGTGTTATGTAAATGCTTGTCAATTTCATCCTTAACTTGTGCTGTCAATATGATAATCTAATTTTGTATTTTCAGCGAGAAAGTAGCAATGCAGGCTCTGAAGGCTAGCGATTGGCATCTTGAAGGAGCATTTGATTATTTTTACAGCCAGCCTCAGCTTAGAAATGTAACTGATTCTAGACACTTGGAGGAGCTATACAATAGATATAAAGGTTAGCAACGAAGGTGAAAATATTGTGACGCCTATAGTTTTTAAATAGTTGCAAGTAATCAACTTATAACATCCAATAACCATAACAATCAATGGCTCTAGAAAATGACATAAGGATTGAAATCCCGGTATTAGCGTTACAAGCATAGAGTAGCTGGCATCCACAGCATTTTCTTTCCTTTGAGATTGCATCCCTGTTGAAAAGCTAGTATATTTGAAGGTTGTCAAAATCGAGATCTTACATAAGATCGGGAGAGATTATCAAGATCGTAAAATATAAAATCGTAGGGGGTAACAAGATCGTAAAGAATAAGATTGCAACAAAAATCAGAAGATCATACTAAAATTAAAAAATAATAGTATATATTTAAAAGTATTTTTACATGATATGCGTTAGTATGTGTTATTAGGCAAGTGTATTTGTGAGAAAATGACTCTTTTTCGTATTCTTTAGACATGTATGATTGATTTTTTATACTTTATTACTACCACATGGAACATTTGTTAGACATTAAGGACATATTTAATTAATTACTAGGATTATCATAAATCAAATAGTTAAAACAAATCCTATAAGTGAGATGTTTATTCTCAAAACCCTAAATCTAAAACTTCATAATTTCAAAAGGCACGCATTTGTTCCCGTCAAACCAAAATTGTTGCGCCTCTGCATCTTGTCATCCTTCTCACCTTTTAATGATAGTGGCTGAAAAACGGCCAATCATAGTCGAAACTGGAAAAGATCCCACAAAATCAATGATTTTACGATTTTTTCACAATTTTGCTACAACATAGGATTCTACTTAAGATCCGGATCGTTGGGGGTGAATGAGATCGTAAAATCTTAAGATTTTAAGATCTAGATCGAGATCTTTACAACATTTTAAACTTATTTTTATTTTGAGAGAACATCCGTGCCATTCATACCTATTTTAAATTAATTATGCTTCTCAACCAAACTTTGGAAGCATTTTAAGATAAAGTATCATGGAATAAAAACTGATTTTGTGATGTGGCCAGATGAAGGCATTCTAGAAATATGTAGGAAATAATAGTTAGGGCTCCCTGTAGCCTTATCTTGAGGAAAGTGTCTCTATTTGGATATCATAGTTTTCATGTATTTCAAATGCTGATATTCTGAATCTTTAATAGTACACATTGGTTATTCTCTCCCACTACAGTTTTACTTATATCCATATAAAAAATGTAACTCATTCAAAGTGTTGAAGGTAGAAGATGATGAAGGACGCAAAGGAAAGGGTAAATACTTTGAATTGTGATTATTATTTTTATATACCAGAGAGAGAACTATTGTGATTATTATTTTTATACGAGAGTGAGAACTATTGCTTGCTTATATTAGACTCCTAAGATCATCACTGAAAAGATAAGATAGCACACATAACAATTGATGAACTGAGATAGAGTAGAGGACAGCCTAATCTAGGACATAACCAGGGTGAAACTGCATCAGGGGTATTTGAGGTCAAACTTCATCTTGGGTTGGGGCTAAATTGCATCCGAGACAACCAAAGGACTAACTGCATATAGTAGGGGCTGGCAGAAGAATGATACAATAGCGGGACAATATTTTAAGGCTTTTGAGATAGGTCGTAGAAGCACAGACAAATAATCCATAAAGAGAGATATCTGAGAAAGAAAGGGTAGCCGAAATTTGTGTATGTCTAACAAGAAGAAAAGAATCATAGAGAATTTTCAATGAAGTATTAGATTCTATGGATCTTGGCATCGTCACATAACAATGACTAGATAGGCCATCAAGGATGCATGGTGAAGTTGCGATTATGGTCTTCATACAACATTGTAAAACCTTCGAAATATGATAAGGAATGATGCAAAATAATAAAAACTTCTAATTGTGATTATCTATTTTATTTTGCACAAAAGTCTAAGCACTAACTCTTATTTGTACTAGCACTAGATATCTACGCTAATTTAAAATTAAACAAAAAGAAATTTGGAAATCAATCCTAAGATACTATATGATATTTTAAATTACTCTAAGATATAAAGCAAAATTGGAACATATATCTATAATAGGAAATTTCCTTTATTCGTGAGTATAAGAGATGTGAATGATATGGTAGGTTGAATATCTTGTAACTTTTGCTTGTGAACTTTACATTAAAGGTCCCCTTTTTTTTGGGCTGAGATGCTTATTATTTGAGTTATTCCTAACTCATAATTAAGTCGCTATCATTTACTAGAAAAAGGTACATAATGACTGTTTGCTAATCCTTCGCTTCCCTAATTTTCCTACAGATCAATATATTGATATGATTTTCGCAGACGGCATTACTCAACTTTGCAACGATATCCAGGTTACTGCTTCTGAATGCACCAAATTATATTCTTGAATCTTTGATTTAGCATCTTTATAGTCTTTCACATTTAATTATCACAGAACCTGTTATTTAGAACAGTACTTGTAAGCAGAAGAGTATTTTTTTTATTGAAATTAGAAAAGAATTGCTGTCAAATACTTTAGTGGTTTTCAAAGTTTTTTGTCATTTGATTAGGGGATTGATCTGATTAATTATAATCCTAATAAATCAGAGTGGTGGAATTAGAAAGAAGAAAATCTTGGCTTTACACCTAGGTTTCTTAGAGACAACACGTAAGAGATGCTTGGCGTGTCTTGACAACTTGGTTTTTTGTTCTTTATGAGTTTTTTATTCTAAAAATGTGTTTTTAAATTTGTTCTCGGATGATTTCCTACCCCAAAATTAGTTAAAAGTAGGCGATCGAGTAGTAAAAAACTTAGGACCCATTTTGAATAATAATGAGATCAGAGGATACGATGGGAATACAATGTAATTTATTAAAGGGATCTGCATATTCCAAGAGAGTGGGGTTTAATGCCGTTTCTCTTTTGTTGGGGAATGCTTTAATTGGAAAAAAAAACACAACACAGATTTGATCTTATTTCTTAACAAACAAAATAAATTTAAAACATAAATTATACAGCATCGAACATATTTCAATGAAAAGAAGCTCTATAATAAATTTTGCCCTTAAATGAATTAGTAACACTGAAATTAGAAAAAATAGATTAAAACTCAAAGGAAAACCAATACAACATTTGAAGTAAAATACTACTCTCTTTGTCCCAAAATAAGTGTCTTTCTAGCCAAAGAAATTTATCCCAAAATAAGAGTCTCTTTATTTTTTCAATGCAACATTAATTAATTTTTACCAACTTTACCCCTAATAAATATTGTCTACACTACTTTCAAGTTATTAAATCATACTATGCATTTATGCCAACTAATAGTAATCAAGGGCAATTTTGTAAAATTATTACATTTATTTATTCAATCATTACTTTTCTTAATCTGTGTGTAATAACCTTAAAAGACTTCTATTTTGAGACGGAGGGATAATTGGTACATTCCAGTTGAGCTTTTTCAGTGTTTGTCAACTTGTTTATTGTTCTATTTAGCATATGCTATGTAACTGAAATTTTCATTATCTATCTTAATTTTGAATTCCATCGTATTACTGATATCATGTTAATAGCTATTTGATCATCTCTTTTTCATAGGTCTTGTCAAATATTGTCGTATAAGTTGTTCAAATCTTATTGACTTAAGCTGTTTTATTCTCTTATTTACATTTCCAATATTTGCGTTTGGATTTATTCAAAAGGTTAATACCGTATTCATTCTAAGTGTAATTGATATTTTCTTGCCATGTGCAGGTGGATCCTCAAGATATCGTAATGGTATGAATGTGTTTTTAAGATTGTTTCATTTTTAGATCATGTGGTTATTTGCTGTTTCCTCAACTTTAGAAAATGTTTGAAAGAGAATGGGGGGTTATAACTAGGAAGTGAAAACTTCACAGGTTTTTCCAACGGTGTATTTTCTTTTAGGGTTAAACATACGAAAATTTTAAGATGACATGTAGCAATGTTAATTTTGGTTTCATAATTTTCCAATTTTCTCTGAGCAAAAGCTCTACTTTTTTATATAAAAAAAACTGGTGCCACAAAGCCGACATCATAATAATACCTGGGGAATTGTTGTAAAAGAAAGCTGATGCTACAAAGCTCCCATCATAGTAAGATTGGCGAATGGTTGGATTCATAAGAATGTTTTTCTTAATGGGGGGATGTTTACATTTTTGCAGTTAGTTCTTTCATGGCACATGAAGGCTGGCACTATGTGTGAATTTTCCAAGAAGGAGTTCATTGAAGGCTTACAATCTCTGGGGTATGAATTTTATAGTAACTTTGAAATATAACTTGTTTCGGTAATGACTGAATCCCTGTTGAGGGTCTTATAAAATTTTGCAGGGTTGATTCGCTGGATAAGTTCCGTGAAAAGATACCATATATGCGCTCTGAGCTGAAAGATGAACGTATGAACAATATCATTCAGATCCTGGCTTTAAATGAATCTCAGTCATACCATTTTTATTCATTTGTCACTAAAATATGGGCCCGTTTATTTTAGTTTTTTTTTAAATGATTTTTTTATAGTGTAACATATTTTTGTTAAATTTTTTTTTTTTAAATAAAAGCTTCAAATGAAATTTTGGTTTGAATAGTTGTTCTTAAAATGTTATTTTAAGTGTTTCATCATCTTATTGAAGAACTGACATTATTTATTCGTTTTTGGGTTGTCCAGAAAAATTTCGTGAGATATATAACTTTGCTTTTGGCTGGGCAAAAGAGAAGGTAAGAATTGATATCTTCTTGTTTACCCTCCCTTTTTGTGTAGCTTGACTAATCTGTATGGAAGTGAGAGCTTATTGGCCATAAAGCCCATTACCTAATTCAAGCAATGTATTTGAATCAATGGAAATATACTAGTTGATGCATAAGAAACAATTGCCCCTTCCATTTTACGTTGTTATTATCGTGATTTCTTTCCCTATTCAATTAGGATAAGGAGTCTTGATTCTATATAAACAGGGTTAGTACTTAACCTTTTAGTATCATCTGATTATTTATCATCAAATTATAAATCATAACTATATTTTAGTCTTCGGTATTCTTTTTCTTCTCTCTTTATCTAAAATCCATAATTTCAACAGGTTGTATATAAAATTTTAATTGATTTCAATGCAGTATTGCTTCTTTCACTTTTGCAATCTGTTACCATGCAACAGTAATATGCAAGTTAACTTTTTGCAGGGTCAAAAATCTCTGGCATTGGATACAGCTATTGGAATGTGGCAATTATTATTTGCCGAGAAACAGTGGCCACTGGTTGATCATTGGTGTCAGTTCCTACAGGTGATAACACTAATTATACACTTGGTAATAACACTAATTATACACATTGTAAATTAGAAGTTTTCTTATACTTGTTTATTTTATTTGAAATTGAAAATTTCGATCCAGGCTCGACACAACAAAGCAATATCGAGGGATACATGGTCTCAACTTTTGGAGTTTGCAAAGGTAAACTAATAAATTATTAACCTTTAGAATAAAATTCAATAGGTGATACTCTCATCATATGAATTTAACCATGCTTGGTCACTGTCTGTATACTCCTGTGTATGCCTAGACTAAAAGTCCGGAATAACAAGGAAAAGTAAATGTGGCTGTTCAACTGCATCGTTCAACTTTAATTTTAAATCGTTACTGGTGTTTATTTATGTATTGCCATTTGTTTTGCACTTTCTGGCTCTGAAACACAATGTATCAATTGGAACAAAAAAATCCAACAATTCACCAGGACAATTTTCAATATTCTTATGACAATAGTTTAGCTGATACACAAGGATATTTATTCATTTGTATCATCTTACAAAAAGAGCCATAACCATAACAGAAGTGTAACTTAGTCAAATGAAAAATGAACCGGAATAGGAATATTGCTCTGCAAACTGAAGATAAACTCATATAGCGAAAGAAAAAGCCATAACACTTTGCTACGAATCTTCAAAAATAATTCATTGAAAAATTGAAAAGATATTGATTGCAAAATCTTGGTTTTTTCATTCATTATCTGACTAGTTGGATATATGAAATTGTAGTATTGCTTATTCTTTCATTATCCTGATTAGTCGGATATTCGAAGTTAACACACAAACCCCTAATATTTGTGTGTTCTTTTATGCAGACTGTTAGCTCCAATTTAACTGATTACGATGCTGAAGGTGCTTGGCCATATCTTATTGACGAGTTTGTTGACTATCTGACCGAAAATGGTGTTGACCAACACGGCCAGATAAATGATTCTAGTCTAAAACGATGATTCATTAAAATGCTGTTTTAGAAAATTTGATCTCTGGACTTTCTATGATGGACTCATTGTTGAGGGGGATGCGGTCTAAATATGCAAAAAGAAGCAGACATGGCTGCTAGAGCAAACTCATTCATGCAGACAAGGAGTAGCATCAGTTTCTTGAGATTGTTTATATTAGTACATCAATTTATTTGGGAAGTATTGTGGAGTTAGTAATGGGAGATTTCTGATACCATATTAGTTTGTTGTTGGCCCTTTTAAGAACTTATTCTTGTACAATGTTTGGTTAGATATAATATTTTGATGTTATCTGGGAAAATTGCTAGGACACGTGATACCACTTTACTTGGAATTAATCAGAAAAAAGCATTGGCTCCATATGCTGCTATCTTTCATGTTTTTTCTACTTAGTGTATATTCCAAGAAAACGATGAAGGTCTTTATAGCACAAGCGAAAGATATTTTCAGAAGAAAAATTATAAGAATTTTTTTTTAAATCAAAGATATCGATTTGATAAGACTACTACTATAGTGTTTAAGGATATCAATGAGCAGGATTTGAGCAGTACCCATTTTCATATCAGTAACTTTAAAAAAATTTCATACTTAAGGTTATACCTGATTGTACATTAATTTTTTTTCTTGTTTTTCTTTCAGAAAAATAAAAAATTAATTTTTTTAAATACAAAAATATTATTTTTGAATAAAATTATTTTATAATTGCAAACTAATTATAAACTACTCTAAAAAATAAACTGGTTCTTAACTAGTTTTAAACTGAATTGAAATTATTTTAACTGCATTTTTATTGAATTAGTTATTGTAAATTGAATTGAACCAAAAATGTGGTTTGGTTTATAAATAAGTCAGACCGATATCAGACGCCTACGGGCTAGCCTACACAGACTCATGCTAGGCTAAATTTTTTTTTTAAATAGAAAATGTCTATGGTTTTTTATAAGTCTGTTTAGTTAAAAGGGTTAGGTCTCATGTCATAAAAAAAATGTCTTTTAAGTCTAACAAGTCGGTCTATTTAAATAAATATGAATGTTTTTTATTATCGTTATGTTATATTTTGTACTTTGAGTTAAAATAAATAAATAAAATTTGATTATTTAGAAGAAATTATGAAAATAAGATGAAAATATCTTATGAACAATGTTCTAAGTTGTTTTCATAAATTATCTTAAATAAATAGTCTCACAAAATTTATGCTAATAGATAAGTTAAAATAAGTCAATGCATACAAATTTTTAATTTTATTAATTTTTAAAATTTTTAGTCTATTTAAATATTATTTTAACTGTTTACTTACATATGTCTAAAATAATAAACTTTTATGTAGACTAATCAAACTTTAGAAAATACCAAACTCATGCCTAAAAATAAAACTATGGTAAGTTACAAGTCAAGTTTAGATTTTAGTTTTTTTTAGCAAATCAAATTTAAATTCAATAAAACCTAAGTCAGCTCAACCTAATTTCACCCCTACTTAGAGCTTATAAAACACGGATATTCCTTATTTAGAGAATCTAAGGGTTGTATTTAAAGAAACATAGAAGAATCTAATTACAAGTTGGGAAATACTAACGAGTGCCCTTAGGGTATTGGTTAAGAGATTAAAATAGTAAGTTGGACATTATTTAAGAGATTGAAAATACATTTTTTTTTTAAATATATGTATTCAATGCTCTGAAAAGAGAAATAATCAAACTTTTTAAAAAATATTGTGTGTATTGAGTGAATTAAATATAACATATTTTTCTTATTTAGAATTCTTAACGAGAACACTGATTAGCATGACCCTGTGTTGCGAAACATAGGAGAATCTAATTAGTATTATTAGTCAATGAGTTAATCTCTTCGAAGAAAATATGAATAGCACATGTAGCGGCTGCGGATCTAGAAACTTATGGTTGTGGGGCAAGAAAATAGTTTATCTATAATATAAAAGACAAATATTTAATATAACATAATGTTTTTCTTAAATATGATGTATTTTGTTTCAATATGCATACTTAACGATAAAAATTAAAAGAATAAATAACTATTAAGATGAGTTAAATTTTTTATATCACTTATAATTTGAATCTTTATTTTCATAAGAGTTTACTTTATGATGATAACAACTAAGTTACACACCGAACAGAAACAACAGACCTTCAAAACTAAAGGATATTTTTTAAACCAACCTGACAAGAAACAAACATAATCACCACTATTATTTAAAGGCAAAGTTTATTTTAAGGTGCTGACGAATATGTCTTGTCGGAAAAGTCCCTTTGTGATGGAGCCTCGACTTGCTAAGGAGATTAGAGACAACAGTAGAATTATCAATTTGAATCCAAGAACTTCTTAAATCCTTTCTTCCATACAAAATCTAAATCGACAAAAACACCTCGAAGTTCTGCAAGAGTACTATTATAAATTCTAATGTGATTGTGGAATTTTATATTGTGGTGAAATGTAAATTGTTAGATATTATAAAGTATTATTTTTATAAATTGTTAGATATTATAAAATATCATTTTTTATGGTGGCAAGAATTTCTAATCAGTAGCACTAATTTTTTCTTATAAGATAAAATTATATGATTGTTGTAATAGGTTAACAATGGTTTTGTTATTTGTAATTACTTTTTATAAAAAAATAGACAAATTAAAATTTGAGGAGTACGGGGTTTAAACATATTAGACATGTCTGTTTTTGCGAATTTTGTGTTTAGGATGAATCAAGATTTAATGTAATATTCTTTAAGAGAAATTTTTAATGTACTTGTCGCGGTGAGAATCAGAGACTATAGCTATTAAGTTAGTTAGGCTTCACAAATATTAAGATATCACCATCGGTCTTTAATTTATCTAAGGGAAAGGGAAAAGAAAGAATAAACCATAAATATGCAATGCAAAACAAAGCAATAAAGAGATCTAAGATACAGGAGTAAGTTATGCTAAGGGAAGATATTAGCATCCTAAGTATCTATAGTATGCTATAGGAACCTCTTGTTATATTTGTGTTATTGGTTAAAGTTGTTTGCTATTGGGATTGATTGAGGAGATGAGATGAGAAGTGTTTTTTTTATTGTTTTTGTGTTTGGCAAGACACAAAGTCTTGTGCCTATGTACCAATGAAGGATCAAAACCTTGTAGTTCGGGGTATAATTTGAAAAAGTGTTTGTTATGATGAATTTTATTAAAGAAGAGACAAGTTGTCATCTTAAGGAAAATACTCATCTAAACTACCACAAACATATGAAAGAGAGATCTTTGCTTCACATTGAGAGAAGGGCTCCAACTTGAATATATAATCAACAAGTATGCCACATACCTCTCTCAAGTGAAAAAGAATCAATATCTTTCTCAACAATGTCACGGGTTAGGAGAATTATATCTCAACTAAGGATGACTAATATCTAATCTACTTGAAAATGTTTTAAATTGAAAAGTCAAAATGGCAAAAGTTTTGAATTGAAGTTTGTGTATTTTAGTCTTTGTGAAAGAGTTTGAATATGCTTAAGATGTCTTGTAGCATTTGTTAAGAAAAGAGTTTGAAGAGTCAATGACCTAAGGTCAAGGTTTCTATTGAAAATGATTTTGAGTTTGAGATAAGGGAAACCCTAATTGAGTTATCTAAGTTAATTCATCCTAAAGGAAAACTTCCTAAGGGATAACAAGTTTAATCAACATGAGAGATATGTACAAGATGTAAAGATGCATATGCAAATGACTATAATGTCAACAATAAGTCCCTTCCTTGGAATAGGCAACATGAATGTACAATGGTAGACAACAATTCAACAAAGAAGTTAAACATGAGAAACATGGTACAAGCAAGGACTAAAATGATTCAACAAACATGTACAAGGTTTACATTTGACAAAGCATGCTTGGATACAAGTCAACATTTTAAGTATGAACAAAACATGGATACTTAAATCATTAGACAAGTTTCAACAAGATGCTCACCAAAAAACACACATAGAACATGGTTTACAAGTACAAGGTTCAACATGGATTATCTAGGGTTAACATGGTACATCATCATTATTTACAACGTGTATACATAAAAACAAATGTCAACATAAGGGCAAGCAATCAAGGCATGGTTTCATCATAGATTTATAGGTTAAGAAAACAACTTCTAAACACATTAATAAACTTTGAAACAAACATGAACAAATACCAACTATTTAAAATATTCAAGGCAATGGAAATCAAGATGTCATCAAGGACAAGTATACCACACAAGACAACATTTATACATTAGCAAATACTAAAAGCATGGATCAAAGATAAAACAAAACCTTAAATAAAGCATGAACATCACAAGTAAGAAGAATTTTAAAACACATAACAAAATGACAAATTCAAATGAGTTACACACATGAACACAAGACCTAGCATATGCTTAAGATATGGGTTTTTAGATTTTAAAGAAATAAAAGGATAACTATTTTTTTTTGTGATTTTTGAAAGTTAAAATGAAATAAATACTTAAGTTAATAATATATGATTATATATTTTTTTTTATAAAAATTGTGAACAAAATAAAGTGCAATAGAAATATTCAAGTATTTAATGATGTAAAGGAAATAAAGAAAAGGATTAAAATAAAAAAGAAAAGAAAACAATTAAAATAAGGAAAAGAAATAAAAAAAGGAACAAGTGACTAAAAAGAAGGAGGGGGCGGCCAAGTTCAAACCCACGCCCCTTAGGCCACTCTTCAAAACAAGCTTAACCACTGAGTCATGCTAGTGGCCTTGTCATGTATTTTGCTTCAATAAAATATATAACAAATAAGGTTCTGAAAATGGAAACACGCGCAAATAATCATCTTCAACCTCAAAAACATTCAAAAATTTGAATTTCCAACTTTCTGATTTAGGGACAAAACATGACAATCCAATATAGCATTTCATTAAGTTTTTCACAAGGAATTCAACCATTCCAATCAAATTCATTTATTTTTACCCTGGCTCAAGAATTTCTAACAAAACCAAAAAACCGTAG